TCGATAGATAATATGTTTTGGTGAATTTCAAACATTAAAATTGAAATATGAACGAATATTTTATTTTATTTTATTTTATAATAATAAACGGGTTTGAAACCCTTTTGAAAATGTATACATATTACATAATTAGAAACATTCATATCAAAGAAAAAAAAGTTTGATTACAGATAATGATAGATAAATAATGTTAATTAGATTAGGTCGCTAAAGCTGATAAATATAAAAAACGAAAAAAGTTTAACAAATAGTAAAATTAAAGATCTACAGAGGGATCCTCATTGGCCATTAACATCAGACGCCTAATAGGCTCATTTTTCATGTAATTGCTCGGACATATAGGGACATGAAAAGGAACACTAGAACGGTTTTGATTACATTTGATTAATATTGTTTACATACAGTTACAAACACTAATGATCCCTAACTCTTAGGTACATTTTAAAACCCACATTGAAACATTTTTAAAATCGCCTAATTGAAAATCCTTAAAAATCATCAATTTAAAATCTACACGTATCACCAAATTAATGTCCTTATTTGAATATTTTAAGCATTTCTAATGAAAGACCAATCATACTGTTTGAAATCTCTTAAAATTGAATATTAAGATACCGTTTTGAAATTATTATACCTATGAAATGAAAACATATAAATAACAATTAATATTAATATTTTTTATTGTATTTATTTGATTTTTTTTAGCGATACCATGTGAGTATTTTTTTTTTTTTGTTAGTTAAGTTTTATGAATTAATTAATTTGATGCAGTTTGATATAATTCTGTAATATTGTACTGAATTCTGTATTATAATTTGTTTATAAATTAGATTGTTACAACTGGAATAATATGCTATATTAAATATACTACAAATGATGTTTAAAAAATATAAAGTTGACTTAATTTATGTATTTCTATATTGATTTAAAATACTGTAAATTCAAATTTACTGTTTATATTTTTTTCATGTTAGAAAAAAGAAGTATTTAGTCTTAATATAAATAGTCAATTTTCAATTATTATATTAAAACTCATGATTAGAGGTCGGATTTATATTCTTTTAAAATCCTTAAAATATGATGTTTGTATGTCACATAAAATAAGCAATATATTCTCTTAATATTCCTTTAAAATACCAGATATATGATGTTTTATGTCCTTAAATATGCAAAATATTCTTTTGATATAAAAAAAAAAACAGTTTAAATTAATTTTTTATTAATTTGGTTTTAAAAATATTTAATTAAATTAATTTTACAATAACAATTAATTACTATATATTGTTCGATGTATAGTCGTGACAGCTAACGAAATAACCGTTGTGCTTTCGCAATCGATAAGGAATACCTGGAGATTAATTTTTATTAAAATCCGGAAATAAATCATTTAGTGAACATTGTATTTATCAAATGCTGATATGCGTGAAATATGTTCATTATATGCCGGGTATCACAAAAATATTCCCAAATATTCTCTAACGTGTTAAATATTCTCTAACCTCTAAAATATGCTTTTTTATGCAAAATAAATTTTTTCCTGTGAATTCTGTGTTTCATGATTCGTAAAGATTTCTCACTCCCATTTAACTGCATAAACTAGAAACAAATATGTAAAATCATAAAAATCCGACCTCTACTCATGATCTACATGAGACAAAAAAAAATGTGATGCACTGCTCAGTAACCACAAAATTTTAATATTTTAAATTCTTATAGTTCTTATTACTTGTATTAATTTTAATATTTATTCCATATGTTCACGTCATACATAATCTGTTTTTGGAACATCTTCTATCCCTGTCGTTTTCTTCTTTTCGTTAGTTATCAAACCATAATACGTTGTTAGTAGTTATGAATTTTAATAAATAAATACTTTTTTAATTTAATATAACTGAATTATAGCTATCGTGTTTTTTTTAAAGACGGTTTGGAATCGTGAACTTAGTATAATATTCAGCTATTCACCTTTGAAGAGGTTCATTTTTAAATTTTTTAAAAATATCGGAACTTTTACTTTATATCCATAACAAAACAAAAAAAATTTATAATATATAGACATTAGACAAAGATATAAAAATTTGAAACTTTAATTGTACGTATTAAGAAACAATGTGTTCCATGACCGGAGTCTTGTCATAACAAAATTTTGGAAAGTTACTAAGACATTGTTTTGTATTCCGTCTCAAATTTGTAAATATTTATTACGGAGTGAACTAAAATATATTATTTTTAACTTTTTATAGATGAGACTGGTAAGTTAAAATATGCCACATATTTTTTTTTATGTCTTACAATAAACCAAAAGAAGAACCGATATTTTTACACAAAACCAGAATTCGACAAATTTAAATTTGAGTTTTTGTGTGATTTTCATGACAAAATTCATCAATAACTAGAATATTTACAAATTATTTTCTGGTTAAAAATCTAAAAGATACCCATACATGTATAGAGATAGAGTTTTTTTTAAAGATATATTAATTTCAAATTTGAACTATATTATTACATATATTAACTTCAAATTTGAACTGCATTAGATATTTACACAAAGAATAACGTTTTTAAATAGTTTTTTGTACCTATTTGAAATTAAATTAGTAAATTATTATAGGTTTTATGCAATGACTTTTTCAATTACAATTCAATGTCCAAGGGTTTCATCATAGAATATACATAGTACAATTAGGTGCAAATAGTGTTTGAGATGTATTTTTTTTTTTGGAGGGGGGAGATTTCAAACACTTCTTTAATATTACTGAATATGATTAAAACTATAAATTAAGAACATTTGAAGGGAGCTATTGACATTTTTTAGGTACTTATCCTATAAAGCCTTGTTCCTATTTTTACTTCTTTCTGTGGAAATGATGACACTATTAGACATATTTTTGTACCCCAAAGAATTGTCCACTTTCCACTTTTTTCATATTATGTTTAATAAGATGTTTTTTTTTACAATAAGTATTCATATAAAATCTTAAAACCCTATATTTTTTTTATTTTTTTTTTATCTAGATAGAGTACAAACATATATAGGTGTGTAATTGTTGTGTTTATTATTGTACTATAAATTTACTTCCATTATTATTACTAGATGTGATGAACTTTCTATCAATTGAAGCTATTTTCAAAATTTTCATCTAAACAATACAAAAACTGAAGTCTTTTTAAATGAAAACAGTCAAATTTAATGCAGTTTTCTCAATACTCATTTTTTTTATTTTTTTTATTCCAATGACCGACTGTCACAATAAAATCACTGTCCCTTATTTTGTGTTTATATGAAGTATGATTTTTTCAAACCATGTAATGAAAATGATCTAAAGCAAGTATTAATACAGATTCCACTACTACGTTAAGTTAATGCTTTGTTTTTTTTTAATATCAACATTTGTTAAGAAAAAATAATACAACTATTCAATTATAAAATAAAAGTCAATAGTTAAATCATTTTAAATACAGCTTTCTATAGTAATTCTTCATATAATTCAATTCTTTCCAGATTTGACCAGTGCGTATATTTTTGTTTTGTTTTTTATATTATTAAAATATAATATTATTTTCAGTGTATGTTTTCAACGTTGTAAATAATATTTAATATTGTTAGCAACAACAAAATATTGCTCGGGTCAGGACTTAGGTAACCTGCGATAAATAGTTAACACTTATTGCGATTCAGCGTTTACTTAATACGGAATAATTACTAACATAATTGATATATTATAATGCTCTTAAGTATCGTATTATGGTTTAACATCGAACGGAATAAATATACATAAAGTAGGTATCAGACTTATGGTCGCGACGGTCGTCGGGAACGCGGGAACAAAACGGTGTCACCGGTCACTCAAGTCGGAGAAAAGCGAACTGGTCGGTGGTGCCGCCGTTGCGGTCGTACCGGCCGAAGTATGGGCCCAGGGCACAGTGTGGCCAATCTGAGCTCAACAACGCCGTAGCCCTAGCAATTCATTTTTTTTTTTAGGTCGCTAACACTCGGCCCTTCCTGACCTTGAGAATTGTTCACGATTCCGGCGACCGTCAAGTTAAAACTAACAACTAAATAACATAATAATTCAACAGATTGACAACATTAATACATATGTGAATAAAACAAATAATTTAACAGATTGACAACATAAATACAATTTTACGAAATATCCACCCCATAATCCTCGTACCACACCGGACGTTTCCTGGTGCGACTTGGCCTGGCCGCGCTCACTGTGTCGTTGCAGGTGTCTACGTCGACCTCGGGTTGAACTTCGTCAACAACGCTTACCCCTTCGGATTGGTCAACCTCCTCATCGACCTCGCGTCGGACATTGCCTGTATCGCTTTCATCCTCGGATTGTTCAACCTCCTCATTGGCCTCGCGTAAAATCTTCCACGACTTGAGCTGTGAGACGTGGGCAGTAGTAGCATACACCTCCCGACCGTCGGTGGCTACTTCTGCCATTCTGTATGTGTCGCCGGGCAACACTTCGATGACTTGCAAATTTCGTTCGCGGTACTTCTCCTGTAACTTGGAGTTCTGATCCGACCGCGGTTGTCGCAGCATCACCACGACCTCTCCGACTTCGTACGTCGTCGTCTGGTGATGACGCTGGTCATACCACTTTTTCATTTTCATCTGACCTGTTTCGATGGCTTGTCGTGCCTGATCCTGTAGCATACACGGGTCAGTCCAGCCGTCGCGGGATCGACTATGGTGGAACAAAACGCCGCCATGATAACGTGGGCTGTAACCGTGTAGCAACTCGTAAGGAGATTTGTCACTGACCTTGCTCACCGCTGAATTAAGATGCCGTTCTAATTCGGGTACGCGAACGTCCCAATGCCGTTGGTCGTCGGTCATCATACTGAGCAATGGAAGTATGGTCCGATTCGCTCTCTCAACTTGTCCATTCGCCTGAGGGTGACGAGTCGAGTTGAGAGTGTGACTAATCCCTCGCTGTCGACAGAACTGTTCGAACGATCTACTGGTGAAACAGGTGCCCCGGTCACTCACTATTCGGCTTGGGGATCCCTTGTTCATCACAAAACATTATCAGCCGCTTCACCACACCTCCGGTATCCGTGAATCGGCACGGGTATAGCTGAACATACTTCGTCAAATTGTCGACCAGTACCAGTAAGTATCTGTTACCCGCGGTACTAGTCTCAAAAGGTCCTAAATGATCAACATGTACGATCTCAAACGGTATCGGGTGTAGCAATCCTGGTTTCTTATCAGCCGGCCGTTTATGTGTCAAACAATCCAGACACATTTGAATATGTTGTTTAACGTACCGTTTCATCCAAAAATACTGGTCGGTGGTGCAGCCGTTGCGGTCGTGCCGGCCGAAGTATGGGCCCAGGGCACAGTGTGGCCAATCTGAGCTCAACAACGCCGTAGCCCTAGGAATTCATTTTTTTTTTTTTGTTGGTCGCTAACAATATTATTAATTATTTTCTCAATTTATTAAAAAGCTTCAATGTATACATACAGATAAAAAGACATAGCAGACATACAGAATATTAGAGTATTTTTTGTTTGTTAAGTTTTTCTTTAAATATGAGAAGCTCTTTTAAAAAAATGATGCCACTAAAATAAAATTTTCAATTTTCTTGCTGTTATTTTTAATGTTTCCATGATATTATAAGAAAATATAAGATGGGTTCCATCAGCATAAATATAAAAAACATTTAAAATGCACAAACCTTTGAAATTTAATATAAACACATTAAAATAATTAGGGTACTTTAACATAACTCTCAAATATGCACTTAGAAGTATAATAATTTCTATATGATTATAACTTTTGTAAATATTCACCCATATGAATTGAATAAAATTGACACATTATCATTAGTGGTAAAGAAAACCACTAGGTTATATCAAATTATCCAACACCACTATACATATCATAAATCATATAATTGTATTATTAATATATAATTATTATTTACTGTAATATATGTTTTTCTGTAGACACAGTTAGTAAGTATATTTTAAATTGGTCGTCATAGTTGTACTTCTACTCTCCTGGATTGAAAATATCAAAAATTAGTTAAAAAAACATACTGTGTTTGTAAATGATTCACTTTCTTAGTCGTTTGAAAGAAAGTTTAGATGATTAAAACGACAAATGTTATTCAATAACAATTCAAACATGTGAGCTCAACTTGAGCTAAAATGTATCATAGTACCGTGTTTTTATAGACATTTGGTTTGTTATTTTTATTTATTTATTTGATTCAACTGCGCTATATTTAATATGTCATATAAATTATAGAAATTCAGAATACCATTTAATGACAATAATCAGTTTATAAGTTTATTAAGTAATTTGTAGATGTATAACAGTGTTTTTACAAAAAGCTATGTTTAAAAAATAAAAAATAATCTGAAAGACATTTTTCTCGAAATAGAGAATTAATCATAATATAAACATATTAATATAATATAAAATTTATGAAAAATATTATGTATGTAATAGAAATTAATTAAACTTTATTGCTTACAGAATCTGCAAGTGCGCATTACCATTGAGTATAAATACTAAAATAATAATAAATCTATGCTATTAATATTATTAATATTATTACTAATAAGCGATGGTATTACTGAGTAATGTTATTTTTTGTGTTTAACATCTCTATTAAAAGTTTTGGATTCGGATAATAGTGAGAAAGGATCTGTAACTATTATGTGTTTTGTGTTTTAATCAGTAAAAATGTTTCTATTTGCTTCAGAGCAATTAAAGATGATTCTTAGAAGAAAATATGATACATTTTGTTGTTAACATTGAAAATAACTTTTCAAATTATTCACAATAAATACTTGGGTTGAATTCGTAAAGAAACAAGTCTTTAAAGATTGATTTCTTTTATTTCCATTTTGAAAACAACAATCAATTAAACATAAGGTATTACTAAAATAATGTGTGATAGTAATTTGTTAAATAGACCGATAGTAATGTAACTAATAACTTATCAGTGATACCAATTCAGTATATCACAAATAGTTTTAATAGACAATTTCAACGAATTTTGCAACTTGTTGATTTATTTATAGTTGAATTTTATAACGTCTGGTTTTTTTTTTATATTAATTTTCAATTTTGGTCAGGCATATCATATGCTCTTTGCTATTACAATTTAATTTATCCAAGATATTTGATGTTATAACTTATATAATTAATTATTATATTAAATTATTTTTGATTATAGTGGACATACGTGGTAAATAAAAGTTTTCAAGTATATTTATTAAGTATTATCATCGATTATGCAATACTGTGGGTTGGTAACGCCGATGCTGAATCATTTATTGATCATTATTTTAATTTGTAGTAGACTAGTAGCACATTGGTGACTGTAGATGAGTATTTACTTATTTCCTATTTCCCCTTGAGACAATTCGATACTAATTTAATGAATAGAATAAAACCTAAAATTTTGAACGATAAATGATTGGCGTTACCTACCAATCTAATACAGTATCATGAAGGATTTTAGGCCACAATATCGAAAAAATAAAGGCGAAAAGAAAAATAGCGAAACCAAAATAGCGAAAAAAATAAAAGCGAAGTTTATATAATTACAAAATCAAAAATACCGAAAAAATATTTTATAATAAGTACAAGTACCTATAAAAATATAATATAAAAAAATATTCACAAAATCAAAGTTACATTTGGAGAGTTAAGTTGTAAGCGATACCTTTTAAATAATTAATGTTGTCGTTAGTGTTGTAAGATAAGGTTAAATCACGTATGTTTTCTGAACAATCTTTGTATTTTTTTTTTTTTTTTATGTTTTTTGGCACCAGCAATGAACTGTTCCTGTTTTATGTCCTCTAAATGTTGTTGATCTTTCAACACATCGATAAATATCCATAATGTTGGATGATATGCACCTTAAAAAGTTAATATTACATTATACATTATATTGAATTAAATTATAAATTTAATAAAATATTTTTAACAATATATTTTAAAAAACTAACCAAGTAATGAACTGAAACCTCTATGCCAACCCTCTACTGCATTGTTAGTCCTTGGCAATAAAGTACTTGCGGATTCGTAACAATTCCATAAACTTATTGAAATTGAATACTTTGGTAATCTACGACCTTTTCTTCGACCTATTGGGCGGCCTACCCAGGTGTCTTCAAAGTAGTCAATAAGTGGTTGTAAAAAGTTTTCGTTATCTGTGTAGTATTGTGAATCTATTAATTCTTCAAACGCATCTATCACATGATTTTCTGGTACATATGCTAATGCTAATAAGAGCCATATCTGTAATGCAAATGTCGAATCTGATATATATTTTTGGGCCATATATTGAATTTGTTGTATTTTACGCCAAATACATTGGGAAAAATGGAAATGGCATCCTTTTTGTTTTAAATTTGGAAATACTTCTTTAAATGCATTAATTGATGCCATTTCAAAATCTGACATAATTAATATTGGTGATAAAGTTGATTTAATTTTTTTTTAATTGATTAAGGAGGTGTACATATGTTTTTTGTGATTTGTTTGGTAATAAAGCATAAACAGTAGGTATCAACGAATTGGTTGACAATACATGTATTGTGTGAATTTGAGTAAAAAGTGTCGGAGTGCACTTAAATGTACCATCAGCGAACCAATTATTACATTTTCCCATTAATTCTAGATTTTCTTTAGTAAAAAATATTAAAATACGTTCATCTGATGGGCCGCTATCGTACTGCATGAATTGTCTTCCATCTTTAGTTAAAGTATATCTTTCAGGTATTTGGAGGTTAAAAAGTGACTGAAGATTCTGCGGTGCACAAGCATTACGTTGGCGTACTCTTCTTAACGTGTGTTTTAAATTAGATATTTCGGGAAATGCACCTGATATCACTGGATTTAATTGCGATGAAGCGATTATTTGTTGAGGGTTATCTTGTGACGACAATGCTTGGGATTTCATTCTCTCGACTTCTTTTTTTACTTCTAACTTGCATATATCTGGAACGTTGTTATGTTCTGAAGGCTCTTTTTTAATTTTATTATCACTTGTAGTTGATAATCGACCTTTACATTGCATATCTATACATTTCCAGTACTTCGATTCCTTGTACATTTTTTCCTCTCTATACGTATAACTATTATACACGAGTAAAAGTTTATTTTTTTTTTATTAGATTTAATAAATTCCATAACTCAAAAATCAAATTTAAAAAATACAGTTCAAATAGATTATAAGAAATAAAATAATAAGCACAACACTTAGTCAACGATTGTCACGATGTCGAACGTCGTACAAAACTATTTGATGTCCATATAGTATAGGTATACGATGTACACTAGTCACGATAAAAACGATAATGGATATTACCTTGAGTCACAATAATAATGATTGACTAATAAAGATTATATTATTATCTATAGTTTTTCCTTATTCTCTGTTTAATATTTACTATAAAAACAAGAGTTTTCCCCGAAACATTCGATATATTATTTTTCGTCATAATTTAGTTTCGTTATTTTTATTTTCGATATTTTTAATTCGCTATTTTTCCATTCGCTATTTTTTTTTCGCTCTTTTGGCCGGTTACCATAATGAAGTGTTGTATGTTAGGTTAGGTACCAGTGCCGTACGCCGTACACAGGATTTATTTTTTTTATGGGGGACTTGAACATTCATTCTTAACTCTACAGGAAAGTAGGCAATAATTAAAAAACATATATGTACATACTATTTACTAATCATTTTTTTTATTTTTATTTGTTTTGTTTTAAATCCAAGCGCCTTTCTCTTTTTGATGCAACCATACTTAAAATAGAGTCTGTATCACTTATGTATATTCATAGCTGACTCTAATTTATGGATTGCAACTAAAAGATTAATCAAACCGAATACCAATGAAATCCCCCCCTTAAAAGCGGGAGATGCTTATCTAAATACAGAAGCTGATAAATGCGAATTGCTTGCTCATACTCTCGAAAATGCATTCACTTTAAACAGCTCACAAGATAACTCTACAAACTATCTAGTCCAACAAAAACTTAATGAGCCTGATATTCAACCACAAAATATGTTACCATACTCAAGCCCCAACGAAATCTTAAATATAATCAAAAAATTACCAAAAAGAAAATCACCCGGACACGATTTAATCACTAATACTATCCTAAAAAATATTCCCAAAAAAGCGATAACATATTTATCCATCTTATTCAATTCCCTAATAAAAATTGGATACTTTCCTACAGAATGGAAATTGGCCACAATAATACTGTTCAAAAAACCAGGTAAAGATAATTCTAATCCCAGCAATTACAGACCTATAAGCCTACTGTCCTCAGTTTCAAAAATATTTGAAAAAATTATTCACTTAAGGCTTACTAATTACTTAAATGCAATAAATGCTATCCCTCATTTCCAATTTGGATTCAAATCAAACCACTCCACTGCTCAACAACTTCTGCGACTAACGGAGCATATAAATGATGGATTTGAAAAAAAACTACATACAGGGGCAGCCTTCTTAGACATAGCCCAAGCCTTCGATCGGGTCTGGCACGACGGACTTTTATATAAATTAAAAACATTAAACACTCCAACCGCAATATATAATCTAATTAAATCCTACCTCTCCGATCGCTGCTTTAAAGTTCGAATCAACGATACTACATCGGGAACAAAACAAATTAACGCAGGAGTACCACAAGGTTCAAAAATTTCACCTTTACTTTTTAACTTATACGTCTCGGACTTCCCTACAACAAATAATACTGAAGTAGCACTATACGCTGATGACAGTGCTATATACTCAAGCGCCAAAGACACCGAAACAATAACCCAAAATATTCAAGCCCACCTGAATGAAATTCAAAAATGGGGAGATAAATGGAAAATTATGTTAAACCCTCATAAGAGCACTGCGGTACTCTTCTCCAACCGACGCCCGAAAACTCCTGATAACTTAAATTTGTGCGGTAATAATATTCCTTGGTCACCTAAAATAAAATACCTAGGTGTAGTTCTGGACAGAAAATTAACTTGGAATCCACATATCACCTCCAAACTACAACAAGGATACCAGAGGCTAAAAATACTGTACCCATTGATCAACCGACAAACTGCTTTAAGCTGGAGATGTTCTCTTTTATTATATAAACAAATTCTACGACCGTTACTTCTATACGCAGTCCCTGTGTGGGGAAATTGTGCAAAAACCCACATCCACAAAATACAAGTTTTCCAATCAAAAGTTTTGAGAACCATTTCTAATGCTCCATGGTTTGTACGAAATGATGCACTTCACAAAGATTTTCAGCTACCCACAATAACAGAGTACATAAAAAAATTAACTATCAACTTCTTCGATCACATCAATTATGCTCATAGTGCGAAATTCTATAAACTAAGTGACCCACCTTCTGTACGCCGACTCAAGCGTGGACGCCCACACGACCTATTGTTATAACTATTATTTATTAATTTATTATTATTTTTGTTATTTTTTTTTTTT